CCCCCGTTTTTTTCCTTTTTCCACAATTATCACAATTAGAATCAAGGAGTTCCAGAGGTCCAGCATTGGTTCAGCATTCTGCCTCATCTTCACTATGATTGTTATGATTGGCAGTATGAGACAAAGAACAAAGTAGAGATTTAGCCCAGTCCATGATCCTCGAAGAATCCTTGAGGTGTTTCCTCCTAGAACAGAAAGTAGAGGTGATCAGTGAAAAATAGACAGCAAAAATAGCTTGAGATAGCTATGAATCTCCTGAACCTTTAAACAATGTATTATAATGTGTGCCTTGCTTTTTAACAATTTTCTGAAATTACGACCAGAGCAGAAAACTGCCCTTTGTCCAAGGAAAGCCATTCTGAATAAAAGCACAAGCTTTTGTCCCTTAAGAAGTTCTAAAATGTAAGAGACCAGTCAAAACAAGGAATTATACTTGTTTATCTACACCCCGAATACAATTATAGATGGTGAAGGATAACAGAGATACCCTGTGAGCAATGAAGCATCAGACCGATATCAAAACAATATCAGACATCAGAAATTTGTCTGTTTTCGCATCAGAGCGATAAAAATATGGTCCTAAAACTGACAAATTTCTGATATCTGATGTTGTTCTGATATTTCATTGCTCACTGGGTACTTACTCATCAAAGGAGGTGACACTTAAATCTAAACCTAACAAGTACCTCAATAATGAAGAGGAATCTACTTTTGCATCCATTTTAAGAAAAACAAGACAGTGTATTACCAGGCTTTAAACCAGAGAATGGGTGTTCCCACATTGATCTCACGTAGACACATAAGAGAAAAGGCAATACAGCCACTCCCTAACCATAATTAATGTACGTCCAACTCAAGGGATTTCAACTGCTAAAGAACCACATAAAAAGGGACAAAAGTCAAATGCACCAGAAACTTGAATGGATAAATTAAAGTAGACATGGCATGCTGTTTTTTAATAAAGAACAAATACTGCCTCTTTGACGACAGAGGTTGACTGATCACGATGCATTAATTATTTCATATTTCCAAACATTGAAAAAGCAAAAGAAAATTAAATGAAAAGCTATGAATAAGAAGGAACAGAACTCCAACAAATTTGAAACACATACCTAAAATGTGTTCATCCTGACGATGAGAACAACTCAATGTAAATATATGGGACATATCACTTATGATGAATTTCCTGAATCATTGTCAATGGAATACTCTAATAATGCTAAAAAGAGAACACAATCAGTAGATTTCCAGTAGTGAATTAATTTTTTGAATGGCCTTTTTACCCTTTATGCTTACAATTAATAATAATAAAAAAAAAAAAGACAACTGCAAAGGAATAAGTGGAGTTAAAAATTGGTTGAAAAGAGTCCAGACTCTACAAAATAAGTTCCTCTTTTTTTGGGCGGGGTACACAAACTCAAGTAATAAAGGTCTATGTATTTATTCATGTATTGAATACAGGGTTATACTCAAAAATATTTTCTAGCAATAATACATAGTAATACTTTGGTCTACAAATCACCAAATAATTTGTTTTCAAATACAGTAACCACACAAAATATGAAAGAAGAGAAGAAAGTTTTATTATTGCCACCTAGATGGGACGATATGGATTTTCCTGTCTAGATACATGGTATGCCAAAAGTACTTTGAGTCATCCTTGTTCTTAGAAAGCTGGTAGCAGGAATTACAAACTGGAAGATGTCAGCATTGCCTTTAGTAATGCAAACAATACATGGAAACATTTTAATATATATACACAAAACATGGTATGTTTATTATTGCAAGGTGAAAAGTAAAAGTCAGTCCTTTACCGTATATATGTATGTGAAAGATGCAATAAAATGTAAATAAAATTCTCATTTTAAAAAATATAATGGGTCGATGTGTCAACAGAAATAGATTTTTTAACTGAATGAAAAGGGTTATGTACAGGCTACACATTTGGCACTATCACACTTCAAGTGTACTTTGGTGTCTGTTAGCCAAAGTACAAATTACAATATACTAGTACCACCCACAACTTCAGAGATGGATGGAATTAATAGGTAATTGGCACTATCACGCCCGCCATTAGTGATGCACTGCTTCATTCACTCAATAGGCAAAAGAAAAATTGAAATACGAGGAAATATTAATCAGAATTGTTTTGAACAAGGCAAGTGTAAGAAACTCTTATTTCTAAAATAATATTTACATTGTGGTAAACATTTTAAATGACTAAGGCAATACGAAAATATCGTAATAGGCAAGGAGGCAAATCACAGACTGTCAAAATTTCAACACTAACCCAATGGAATAAAAATCTGCTCTGGATATGAAGAACAGAATCTATTTCAAAAATGGTCAAAGTTTAAAAGGCAGAGAAGATACTCAACAATGCTTTGGCGTCCATCACAAACAAGATATACTTTGTATTTCTTTCTTAAATCTAAAAGTTTTGATTTCATAATAAATATTTACACTATAAATGTTTTCTATAGATGATATTAGGTACTTCAATTAAAAAAGCGATTGGTCCCTTCACAGATACATATAGTGGAGATAATTCTTATTTCTTTCTCATTATAAACTCAGTGTAGATTTCAGAGAAATGTCAAAGAGCTAATGTCAAGAAATGGTGAGAGTAAGTGTGTATGTGTGTATTTATGTAAATGTGCGTCTCAGAGTAACACTAAGGTGAATGTACCTATTGAGAGAAGCTAGATAGGGTAATTGTGCATGCAATCAGTAAATCGCTTCAGGAAAGCAAATTCCCCAACTCATCGGTAACTAGTGTTGAAGGTTCAAGTACCCATCCCATAACATGTTCATCATAAATATTAGAGCAAGAAAACAAACAAACAGAGGTGGTCATCAGTAATCAAAAATTACTACAGAAGACTTTGCCATAATGGACTATCAATCACACTCACCCATCTTAGGCTTCTATATCTAACATACCTAAGTACAGGTGGAAACATATAAAAGAGCCTTAATTTAAATTTGGTACCACCTTCAGTCAGAGTGAAGCTCCTTTAGGCATTGAATGTATTACAGTAAAATACCAAGGAAGAAGAAAATGTTAAGTATTAGCACAATCCTTCTAGTTTAAGAAAAAGAAGAGGGGGATATATTTTTAAAGTAAAGTTGGCTCTTGTGCAGTCCCACCCACGTGCAGGGAAGCCGATGGTGATGAGTGAATGGGTGCTGGAGGCTACAGAAGGCCTATCTCCCTGAGGGCGCCCTCCACCTCGTCATCCTTCAAAACAGTGCAAAAAAAAAAGGCTTCATGCTGAGAGAGCAGAACTTCTACAATGCTAAGAGACTGTCTATAAAATGAGATGGACCCTAATTCACACTTTAATGTTGATTGTATCCAAGGTCATATTTCCCCTTAAATCAAAAAAAGAGGAGACAGACTTTTTGGCCTAATAATGAACTAACTTACAAACTAACATTGAGCACACATAGATGGGAACACAAAGAGAACATAACTGTTACCCAAACAAAAGCGTTTGGACTTTGATGAGTGCCATTGATTTAATACAACACATGGGCTGCAGCACAAAAAATGTAACAGCTTGAAATAAAATAATCCCCTTGACTCATCAATCAAAAATATCAAAACATGTAAACAGAGTACATATTCGCTTCATGCATTTTGCAAGAATTATCGATACAAAGGTAGTTTTTTCAGTTTCCAAGAGCTGGAGCATGCAATGAATTTGCAAGCAATGACCTCACAAATCCCTAACTCTATAGAGGTTACACATGCCAGATTAGACACATGCATGCACAAGACAAACAGAAAGTTAGGTGATGTGCAGAAAACTTAGAAAAGAGAAATGAGATAAACAATCCAACAAAACATAGACACTACTGAGGTACTGGCTCTGTGGGTTGACTGAGCATTAGATCATGTGCCTTTGAATAAAGACACAAAGGTTTGTGGCTATTCCCCCCCCCCCCCCACACAAAAAAAAAAGAAAGAAAGAAAAGATCATAGACCGAATAGATGAAATCATACGTATTGCACATTATGGTTTAGCTGAAAGACTAGCAACCACACTCAAGATAGATAGATATATAAACAGACAAATCATTACAGCTGACAATAGCACTACAACACTGGTTCATTCCTTCTGTACCAAATGTGGAGCAAACACTTTACGGACAGGGCAGAAGAATTTGGTTGGATTCAGTGGAACGTCGCCATTATTTGTAGTTGGTCTGGCTTAAAATTATAGCAGCACTGAAAATGTTAGAAGGTACTTGCTAATCCAGTTTAAACAAAATGCCATTACAGGAGATAGCAAATTAATTGCATGTCTGAACTTAGCAAAGATGTCATCAAGGCCCATGTTGGTTGAGCATATATTGACTAGTAGAATCAAATTAGAGATCAACCAATCTGAAATCTGGCAGGGGAAGTGGGAAGTTAAAGAGGGCACTTCTCTGATGTGATCCATAAAGAATGGGAAACTTGTGCAGCAATACACCCTGTCAGAGGGCATATAGCAGAATATAAGCCATACTGTCGGACGGACCTAAAACTAAACCAGACATAAACACGATTCCTCACAAATAACGTCTAATTGTGCTTTAGGTCTTCCCTAAAACAGCACATAACCCCCCGCCCTCTTTTCCCCAAAAGAGGGAAGGAAGTAAAACGGAAAACTTGGAAAGGCAACAACATGTCCCACGACTGATTAACAATCTAGAACACCCAAAATGTTACCACAAAAGTTGAGGTAGAAAAAGTTCAAAAATAGTGGTCATGAACAATTTCTGTTAAAAATTGTACCTTACAGGGAAAAAAATAATATGTCAACAAAAATATATATCTGAAAGTATAACAATTAGAAAAGACAAATGACTTGATACAGATAATAAAACAAAACATTCATGCACAATAGCTAACACCAAAACATAGACTTCACAAGTTACAAACAAATTAAGGCAAAGGCATGAACTTAAAATGAGTGCTTTGGCCATTACAGAATGGAAAGGAGCCATCAACATAATCAATAACATCAACAGATTGCTTTTAATAATGGACTAAAGTGGGTTGGGAAAGGTGAAATGAACATGTCACAGAGACAGTAATCACAGTAAAGACCTACTCAAGGGATAAAAGCTTTCAAGTACACTTTCAATACCACACACAAGGGCAATACCACAGATACTGACATTTAAAGATGAGACAGAAGCATGCATTAATAACATTCTTATACCTCCAAACAAACCAAAAAATCAAATTGCTAGGATAACAATGTTATAGAGGTATAAAAATTGGAGTAGCTTTCCGCAAGGAAGAAAGGTTAAAGGTCTTTGGAATACTAAACAATACAGTGAATAATTCTAATTTACAAATGGCATCACAAAAAATAATGAATTTTGAGATTAAAATGTAGGCACTTATCCATTGCAAACAATGACTAGATTTGCAACAAGAAAATATACTGCATTAAAGTAACAACAATCATACGATATTTGTATAATAACTAACCCCACGTTAAGGCCACAAGGAATGAGAGCAACCAAAATGTAAGTGGAGCATGGAATGTTCCAAAAGGGAACAAACAGGCAAAGTTTTAAAAAATAAAAAAAAATGCCTTGAGCAATATCTGGTTTTAAAATCAAAGTTCAATTGGTGTATCACCATAACTAACCTCTTGCAAAAGATCCTGAGCTGCAATTGCTTTCAAAACGTTTTTCTTGCTTGTCTCCTGAATTTCTCCTCCAAGGAGTAGTTCATCTAGAATGAAATAAGCTTTCTCAAAATTGAAGATGATGTCCAGTTCACATACCTGTGGGAAGCAGATTACACAATATAGAGATATGATACATAAAGTTGTTTCTTGTTATATACCAGAAGAGTACTTTCAAATATACTTACACTGCCAAAATATTTATCTAACAGCTCAACATATCTATGAATGATTTCCAAAGTTAAGAGCTCGTTGGCATCCTGCTCAATGGCACAGCAGAAGTAAAGACTTGCATATCTAAAATTTTCAAAAAAGAATTATTTTGAATGGCATTAAATAGACCATTTCACCAGAGCGCTTTTCAACGTCTCAAAGAATAAAAATACTGGATGTCGTGCAGTTTAGGGAACGTTCTTGGCCATTGAACACGTTAGATTGAAGCGGTTTGTGCCATAAGAATAAATTTTTGACTAAATTTAGGTCAGAGAAGAGTAAATTGTGAGTTAGAATGACGATAAACCTCTACTATGAGTGACACTTCACCCTGACTTCCGGTATTTTTGCTTTATGATAAATCGAATTGCGGTCTATACAGAACACAAGGTGATGATAGTTCAACAATATGATGATTAATTTAACAGCATCCAACCTTTTGTAAACAATCTTCACATCCTTCCATTCTAAGAAACTGCACATCTTCGGCTTTCTGGCAAGGATGGTGGTGATCAACTCTCTAGTTATTTTCTTCTTTAACTTGTCTGGATGAGCCACATACCATTTTTGGAGTCTTAATTTGCCTTGCCGGCTGAATAAAAGCATGAACTGCATCTGCAAACATAATGCAGAGAACTTATCAGTACCTTAGTTTCTCACTCAACCTCGCTACACGCTACAAGGGGACTTACGGACCGATCACCTTATGTCAACGATATGAGTAACACACAATGGGAGAGTGACTAAAGAAGTGAAAGAAATAATAAAGTAAAAAATTCGCAAATAAAGTAACAGGGAAAAGAAAACAACTAAAGTTCTTTAGGAATTAGAGGTTATGTGAACATAACAGCTAAGTTGTACGTTGGTTTAAGTACAAGACATGCAATTATAGCGGAGAAAGGTGCGACTAGTTATGGATACTTACTCTGCAACAGTAAAACTTCAAGATGACGCCCACAAAAGAAAACTCAATTCAAAAATAAATACATAGTACGTGGGTGAAAGAGACCAAAAGAAACGTCACTTTTCTGCTTCGCTCTCAGGCTGAGAGCACCGAGCACCGTGTGAGTCTCAGCCTAAGCTCTGGTACCACCACCCAGTGCGAGGCTATGCCATTTTTGGTCGAGTCGATAGAACTAAAGCTGAGACTGGAACTGAAACAAACTCGGCCATAGCTAACATTGGGAGGGTGTCCGCCCGGTGGGCCCAGCGAGAGAGCACCCTGAAACGAACAACATTGAAATGTCAAAAAATTGTTCTCAACATTTTTACATTCAAAAAAATTTAAGGCCCGAATGTGGACGTTACTAAATACACTCGTCAAAACATTTAGCGGTCCACTTTTTTACGCGTGGATTAAACAATCTCCCCTAGCACCTATGAAGTCGAGATTTGACATAGACATGCACCCGTGTGTGTAGTTTAACACCCTCGAGCGCGAATGTCGTGCGACACCCCTTACGCCGTACGCATCCCCTAATGATCACGGGGGTGGAAAAGTCGAAAAAAACGTGAAAGGTTAGGGTGGAAGGGGGTG